TAGTTGTTAATAATCTTTTTACTTCAGCAGTGTCTGCTGTGATTTCACCCTTTTCCTTTCTAATTGCATTGATTTATATGACCACAGGTGCATGCCAGTGTGACCTTCCAGCTGTTTGTGTTCAGAAGGTTGTCCCCGCATATCATTTGTGACACGAGCTGATACTGGTGATTCGTCAGCCTTGTGCTAACTGTGGCCTGAATCTTGGTGACTGAGGGTACATGTTTGCTGACATCTGCTGGGATTCAGGGAAGGAATGACTTTGCATGACTGACTGCAGTAGCAGTATGCCTTAATCAACCAAACCACATATTCTCTCTCTTTCTCTTTCTCTTCCTCTCTCTCTTCCTCTCTTCCTCCCTCCCTCTCTGTCATAAAGTACACATATTGATCAGAACATGGTGGCACATGCCTATAATCCCAGCTACTCAGGAGGCTGAGGGAGGAGGACAACAAGTTTGAGGTCAGCCTGGGTAACTTAGCGAGAACCTATTTCAAAATTTAATAAAAGTAATATAAAAGGATGGCGATGTAACTCAGTGATAGTGCTCCTGGGTTAGAGCCCAAGTACCCCACTCCCAAACATATATATACTCCAAAATATATTGTTTCATTTTAAACTATAGCATAAGTAAATCAGTTGCAATAGGGTTACTATATTATTGAGATATGGGCTGGGTGTGGTGGCACACACTTGTAATCCCAGCACTTGGGAGGCTGAGGCAGGAGGATTGTTGAGAGTTCAAGGCCAGCCTGGGCTACAAAGTGAGTTCAAGGCCAGCCCGAACTGCATAACGAGACCCTGCCTCAAAAAAGACCAAAAAAAAAAAAAAAAAAAAAAAAAAAAGAGAGAGAGAGAGAGATATGGGGGGATTAGCAAGTCTTTGAAGCAGCAGCCTGAGAGAAAAAAAGCAGGTAGATGCAATTTTTGTTGGTAAGAGGGGGAAAGTAAATCAGACTGTTAGTTAATCAAGCAGTTGTAGCCCTTGAGATAAGAGAGCAAGATACACAGGCAAGCTGATGGAGCCTGGTGGAGGCTGAGATGCCAGTGGGCTTGACGGAGAACCGACCCTGAACTTCCAAACTCACCACTGCACAGTAACTAAATTCCACTCAGCCCACAGACCCCGCCCCTTCTTAAAAAAGCCACAAATAATCGATGACAATCCCTTGAAACCTTATAAAAGTGAAATGTCTCTTTTAGTCAGGGCTGCTCTGTCTGTAGCCAGCTCTGCTGCGTCTTTCCCAGGCTGTTTTGCCCAGGGAGCTGCCTGCTTTGCATTTTAACTAACCTACTCTGCTTATGGGGTAGCTGCTGCACTTTTCTGTAATAAACTTTCACTGTAATTTAATTGTCCTGGTCTGTGTACGATTTGCATCTTATGGGAGGCAATTACTCATTGCCCAACGGCAGTGTCGTCGTAAATAAACAGAAAACAAACGAGTGAATTTCCAGCTCTGTGTCTCAAGTCCCAATTTTCCCCACTACACCTAGTATTTATCTTTCCTTTCTGCACTGTTAGTAATGTGTCTCAGCCACTCCTACCACGACTGGGAAGAAAAAGAAAAAGACTATTCAGCATTTCCTCTTTTTGGACCCTCTCCACTAACCAAATAAGGGTGGCCTCAGAGCTACAGGAGCAATAAGCCTTCCTGTGAAACGGGAAATGGATAAAAAGAAACATTTGAAAACGTATTTTGGTCCTCCAAGAAGCAAGCAACCGGACTGCTCAGCTAGGTACTGTGTGTGTGTGTGGTGGGGTGGGATTTAACGTACTATTTTAGGGTCAAATATTAAACGCTGCATATCCATAAAGTGTGTGTCTGGAAGGTTTTCATGTTGAGAAATGTGCTTTTGCATGGCTGGCTGGATTTGCCTGCAGGGAAACCTTTATGTGTGGTTAATTTGGTTCTCTGGTATTCATCGAGTTTCTCTAAATTGATGCTTAAAGGTACAGGGAGCCCCGAAGGGTGCATTTGTGTTGGAAGGTAAAGGAAGAGACTTTGGAAACACTGTCTGGGATTACGGAAAGGAAACCCACTCTTGTCGCAAAGCCTTGCCATTAGAATCACAGGTAAGAGCCCGCTTGGTCCATCCAGTCCCCTGAGTTGCCGCTGAGAAACCCATCTGGGGAGACATTTGAAGGAAACCCCTGTTTCTAGGACACCTATTTATGATACGATCTTTCCACACATTATCTCCCTTGGTCTCTATCACCCTCATTTAGAGGCAGAAAATGTGATAGAAGCTCAGTGACCTGCCCCACGTCACACAGCTAATTGGCTACAGACCTGTGATAACACCTGGTCAGCTGTCACTACCCTTAACAGTTCAGCACACGTTCATAATACTCATAGTATTAGTTGCAAGGATTGAGTGGCTTAAACAATAAGAATTTATTTTCTTATAATTCTGGAGGCTGGAAGACCAAGACCAAGGTGGTGGCGGTTGGTTTCTCCTAAGGCTGCTCCCCATGGCTTGTAGAGGGCCACCTCCTAGACATGACTTTCCTGGATAGCTCCATTTGTTTATTCAATTTTCCTCTTCTTTACAGACACCAGTTAGATTAGTTAGTTCCCATCCAACAGCCTCATTTTACTTTAATTATCTCTCTAAAGGCCTGTCTTCAAATACAGTCTAATCCTGAGGTTCTGGGGTTTAGAACATATAGATTTGAGTGGGAATGTACTTTAACCCATCACAGCTGGATGTGAAACTGCTATAGTCTAATTGAGATCTAAGAACCTTCTAGTCTAGAGCTTTTTTTTTTTTTTTCTTTTTTTTTTTTTTTTTTTTTTTTTTTGTCTTTTTGAGACAGGGTCTTGCTATGCAGTTCAGGCCGGCCTTGAGCTCATTTTGTAGCCCAGGCTGGCTTTGAACTCACAACTATCCTCCTGCCTCAGCCTCCCAGGTGCTGGGATTTAAGGTGTGCACCACCACACCTGGCTAGTCTAGAGCCTTTGTACAAGAAAGGAATACAGGTAACACCCACTGACCATCTCTGTCCCAGATACTTTCACACTTAATCTTCGCAATAGTTCTAGGGGGTGGCTGATATGCATATGAACCTTTCAGTAAAGAAAGCAAGACTCAAGAAGATCAAGCAACAGGTCTAGGGGTCCGCATCTAGTAAGCTGCAGAGTGAGGATATGTTTGCAATGCCAAAGCCGACACGTTTTCCATTTCCATGTGCTTCCTCTCTGCTTCTGATTACATATATTCTTTCCCTATCTCATCCACGAGTTGAGGGAATAGATCCAGATCATGTGTCTTGAGGAACTTCAGTTTTCTGTGGGGTTCATGTAACTATCTGGAAGGAAATAGTCCATTTTTAGCATTAGTTCCAAATATTCTTTTCCAAGGTACAACTATAGGACAAGGACTTTCCCAGCCAATTCCGTTACTTACTGTGTAGCTGGCTGGGAGAGGTGAGCATGCAGGGCCAGAGCGAAAGTCCTAGGAAGCAAACAGGTCACAGCTCTGTTCTTTATACCAACGAGTAACTCGGGAGACACTGTGTGGGTGCTGCTCTATGGGCTGGTTTTCGTCTTGAGAGCAGTTAGTAACTATTAATGTGCTCTGACATAGTTCCCTGTTCTAGTCATAGACTTTCTCCCTGTTGCTGGAAAGAATACTTCCAGTATCCAAAGTAAATATAAATCTTTGACATTTGTGTGTGTGTGTGTGTGTGTGTGTGTGTGTGTGTGTCTTTTTGAGATAGGGTCTCGCTATGCAGTTCAGGCTGGCCTTGAGCTCACTTTGTAGACCAGGCTGGTCTCGAACTTGCAATCCTCCTCCTGCCTCAGCCTCCCAAGTGCTGGGATTATAGGGTGCAACACCATGCCAGGCTAACATTTTCAGTGTCAGCTGAGATTGTTTCTAGATGATCCACACAGGATTTTTCATTGATTATTTTAGCAGACAAGTAGCTAGATGACCAATCGTGGGAGAACGTCTTGACTTCTTCCTTTATCATCTTCCTCTTTTTTCTGTTCTCACTTAAACTTTGACCTTGCCTGTGAGATATGATTCATCCTAGGCCCTTCCCTTTTCGGGGGGTAGAAAAGGAGAGCGAATTAGCAGTGGTCGCTGTTAACTCAGTCCTGTCCGTGTCAGGGACTCTCAGCTGGTCCGTGGTAGTGCTGGAATCTGAACCCAGGGCTGGTAGCAGAGATGGCCTTGTTCCTGCCCTGTGTTGCCCCAGCCCCATCCCGCTTTCTCTGCCTGGAAATGTCCTCTTCCCTGTTCTACCCCATGCCTTTGGTGTCCTTCCAGTTCAGAAGTCACTTCTTCCAGCTCGAAGCACCTGTCCTCTGTGGGAGTCCCTTAGAAAACTAACTTTCAGGGCTGGGGATGTAGTTCAGTGGCACAAATGCCTGCCTGGCAAGCACAAGGTCCTGAGTTTGATTCCCGGTACCAAAAAAAAAACCAAAAAAAAAACTAAGCTTCAAAAGTCTATTAATCTTGACCCACAAGAAGAAATACATTTTACATTACTATC